ATCTTCTGTTTAAATCATCTAAATACATTTCGGGTGCAGCAAAACAGTAGGTGTTCAGTGTCTTATGGTCCGTTTTCTTGAGTAGAAACTCCTGTGCCATGCCAGCAGCTGCAGAGTAGGACCCTTGCTCACTTTGTGGAAGCAGAGATCTCTCTGTTGAGGTCTAACACACACCCTTTTGTCTCAGACCTACAGCTCTACAATCAGCAAAGCTCATGCTCCCCACTGATTGGAGAACTAGCTGATCTGACTCAACAAGAGGTGTGCTAGACCTCGGCAGAGAGTACCTGTTTCCACTCAGAGAGGTCTGCAGCATGCTTGCAGCATGGAGGGGGGGGGCTCTGCAGGGGGGCTCGTGAGCCCCAAATGTGATACATATTAAATGAAGTGAAAACAAATAAAAGTATAAAAATCTGCTTCCCCAGCTTCTTCTCCTGGCTCTAAGAATGTGCCCAGTGACACCGGAAGTGAGGTAATGCACATCACTTCTGGGTCCAATGATCGGAGAGGAGATCAGCGGCTAGAAGTTTTTTGCATTTTTTTTTTACACTTAACTTTATTGCTATCATATAGGGGGATAATAAGCCCCCTATGTAATAGCACATATGATTGACAGGTCCTCTTTATGGAGACATCAGAGGTCTTTTCAGACCCCTAATGTCACCTAGGGACCCCAACGAAGCTGGTGAGAGCAATCATTCTATGGCCAGTATTCATGGTTAACTCTAAACTGACGACCTGTACAGGCTATTAAAGTGTCTTCTAAGGACAACCTGCAAAATGCTACCAGGAAACAAACATGACACAAACCCTCTTGTTGCAAAGTGTCCACAAAAATGGTGGCTGTCTTTATCAGTTAAAATGATGTGATCAGGTTGATTTTTTTTAAAAGCTCTTATCTCCTATTTACGCACCATTGATGTATCACTTTGATATTTGGAAAGAAATTCAGGGAGCAATTCAAGGTTAATGTCACCATCTAGTGGTCAATCAGAGGCACTGCATTCTTTTGCTCTTTTCTGTACTAACAGAACAGGTCTAATAGACCGCTAAGATGAACTAAGTGGCCCCGTGCGATTGCCAACCTTATCATTCATTTTTTTTTTCTAAGGAATTATAGCCTTAATAGAGGACTGTGATGACTGGTAAATCTGAGCGGGGGCATTCAGCACCAAACACATTAGATGGGCATGTACGGCCCTCGGGAATAGGACGGTTCTCCCTCTTGTAATGCTAAGGGGCGCTCATCCTAACGGCTGATCCGTCCTAGTAAGAAGATGGGATGGAGCAATGAAAAGCCTGTGCAGTCTTTCCTAGCAGGCATTGTGTAAATGGGCTGCAGGTGGGCAACTCCGGCCATCCAGTTGTGCTTTAACTACAAATCCTGCCATGCCCCTGCCTCTGGGAGTCTTACCTGTAACTATCAGCCTTGCAGATCCTCATGGGACTTGTAGTTCCAAAACAGCTGGAGGGCCGGAGTTGCCCACGCCTGAGGCATGTTCATTTCCTTAGCCAAGCACTGAGTAGCCATTTTGCAGCACTTCATTTGACTTCAGCAGCTCCACTGAGTGCTTCGGCAGCACAGTGCTAAGGTAAATGGCGGAGGATAATATTTTTGACTAATAAATACAATTTTCCAACCAATATTTGGTGTGCTCATCCACCCAAACATTCAATTTTAGGTTCCCACACTGAATTGATTTCCTCCATTGGGGTTTAGGCACCTTTCTCCAGCACTGCCAGGTGTGCCCACAGTTAAAATGGCCACTGGTGCTCTGTCCCCACCTTCTCCGTCACACTCAGCGCTCTGCATCCACATTCACTTCTGCTGCGAGTGAATTAGTAGTGATGCTGCTGTGATGCGTATGTCTTATTTAGCAAGTAGAAATGTATCACTTACCAGTTCTATTATTATAGATGTGTTAGTCAAATCATGACACAATGAGATACAGTGATTATCATGAGATTTGTTATTCCAGGATAGGTATATCAGTGGTATGAAAATGCTTTCAGGTGTCAACCAGTGATGAACAAACTGGCTTGGGTTTGTTTTGTCTGGCTGTTCACCGAACCCAACCAGGAACAACCAGGAACAACCAACCACGAACAACCAGGAAGTTCAGTGAATGTCTAAGCTATCCGACTGTAGGCCAACTGTGTTCTAGAAACCAATGAAGCTGTGCACAACATCATTGGTTGCTAGGTTGCTAGTGGCTGGGCCACAGTGTGTCATTGGCTGTTAAGTGGGGCCGTCAGTGTTTATTAAAAAAAAGGCAGACAAGAAATGCAACAAAAGTGTAATATCAATATGATGCCTGCCTAAGTGTCTATATGAAAACTTTAACAGTAAACTGCAGAACAGTTGAGACACTTATATCTGTTCCACTTATTGCAGTTTTTTATCATGTATTCATATTAATCTGATAGATCACTCCGAAAGCCAATTGCGGTGATCAAAGTTCTGTCACAGCCACTGATCCGGATTACAGCTCATCACACTGTGTTGTGGAGGTGAGCAAGTCGGTAGGTGCTTCAAAGAGATACAAAGTATCTCTGAGGAGAATACAGTGTCTCCTCAGAATACTCACAGGGTTATTCACAAAAGGGTGAAGAGTTTGGAGAAGGCAGGAGAAGGAAATAATCTAGGAAAACATAGCTGAACTGGAAAAATTCTCCAATTCAACTCACTTTCCAGTTCAGCTATGTTGTCCTAGATTGTTCCCTTCTCCTGCCTTCTCCAAACTCTTCACCCTTTTGTGAATAACCCTGTGTGTATCCAAAGCCCCTGTGAATAAAAAAAAATAACCCTTTAGTCCCACCCGGTTTAAAAAAAGTTTTAAACAGTTTTTAAAAGTTTAAAAAAGTTTAAAAAACGTAAAAAGTAAAAAAAAATATTTACTAAAAAAATTATAAGAAAATATAGTGCAGATGAGGCTATTAAAGATAGGAGACAAACATACCACATTCTAAAATTGTTCCACACTAAATTTGTATTTCACTCCTTGTATTTTGTGACCTATAACTCCAAAAATAAACTGAAATCCCAGACATATGATATAACCTATAGATCAGGACAAATACAAATAAATATTATGAGTTACTTTCTGTTAGCTACACTAATTATGTACACATTGTTGTTCCCAAAGCTGTGAAAAATGTGTTATTTTTACAATTGTTTTGTATTTTTATATATATAAAAAAATTGTATATGCATATATCACATAAAATTAAAGCCAATTTTGTCCTTTATAAAAAATGGTGTATAATATGTGAAGGTGCAATGAATGAGGAAAATGGAAATTATGGTTTAACAAACACATAGAAAAAAATGGCAAAACTGCTCCGGCCCCCAGGAACTAAAACATTTTCTGAAGCTGTCACTAAGGGGTTAAGAGCACCACTCATGTGTGTGTCACACGGCAACTCATTACAGTCATATCACAGTTTAAAAATCCTAAACTGTTTCTTGGGGATTTTTGTATCCAAATAGTCCACAAATGCACTGGGCCAAACCAAAACCGAAATAAGGTTGTATTACTGTTGCTGAAAAAAAACCAGCACCATATTTGTTGCAAGGCTCTCCTTAAACGATGAGATTGCAGCTATAGAATACAATTTAACTTTTGAGGTATCAATATAAATCACAGCCAAATAGTAGCAGTTAAATATTGTTTCAAATTTTTATTTAAATACATACATTTTCTGGTGATGCCTATACATACACAAACATTAGTACATTGCCTCCTTATCTCCCCCTCTCTTGTTGACACATATATCTCTTACTGCACCAATATTGTTTTGTTTATCAAGTATCTGATAGGTATTGAAGGTGAGACAGTATACACACTACGGGGGTTATTCACATAGGAGCCGAAGGATCCAGCCGTAGCTTTGGGGGATTCTTCGGCTCTCTTCGGCCACTTCTGCCCTTTGGTTCAGTCGAACCGAAGGGCTGCTGTACCGGCTATTCACAATAGCCGGTACAGCAGCCGAAGGCGACCGAGCGGCTCAGTCGAGCCGAAGGAATATGCTTCGGCTCGGCTGAGCCGTAGTGACACCCGAAGCGTGGAGAACGGTTGGCCGAAGCCGATCAATCTCCACGGAAAGGACAGCTGGGCGCATGATCTCACGGCTCGCTCTGCCCAGTGGTAATGACAGATCAGCGTCCCCAAATGACCCAAACAATAACAATTATTCATTGGCCAGGACCTGCTAGAAGACTGCAGGTGGTCGGCAGGTGCCGACCAATAGAAAACAGTTGGGCGGAGCAAGTTATCACCGCTCTCTCTGCCCAATTGTTTTTCTTTTTTTTCCTTTTCTTTAAAATATCTTTCTTTTTTTAACTTTCCTATTTTTTTATCATTTTTAAAATAAGTCTGCAACTTTTTTTTCCCCTTGTATTCACTTCTTTTCTATTCTGCTTGGTACCTCGGGGACCATCAGAACCAGGGAGAAATAATGATAGCAATGGAGGGGGTGATGGTTGGGGGAGAGGGATTTGAATGTTTGGGCCTGCGTAAGGCCTGTCTTGTTAAACCTAGCAGGAATTTTTTTGTAAATATGAATTGCATGAAAATTGTGTTACTTGCTAAACCCCTGAAGTTATTGGGTTCAATTCCATTTATATTAATTTCTAAGGGGAACTCATATTCTGAATCTCTGATTGGATGAGATGGAGATTGTGATGCAATTTGCCCATCCTCTCTACTGCCTCCAATTGGAGAATGCCTTGTATTAATAAAAAAAAAATACAAGGCTTGCTCTAAATGGTGGCGGTGCCCACTGGCCAAATCCATGTGTTCAGTATACAGAGGGGAAGCCGCTGGTGCCACAGCCAGAACAGACCAGCTATCACTGTATGTAGCATGGATTGTTACAATGATTTCCAGCATTCCCAACGTCCCTCCAGAGATCAGATATAGACCAATGTAAGCATCCATAATGCATCATCCCTGGAGTTCAGCTTTTAGTAAATCTGATTTTCACTCCTCCAAATTTGCTGTTGTAAATTACATGAACTATAGGAAGAATAAAAAAAGGATAAATACTATACAGTTGATTTCATTCTGATCAGCACTGCCAGTGTATAAACAATGATGAGGGTTCAGCAGAGAAACACTTGAGCTCAATGGAATTCTTGTAGTTGTTTCTGTACACACATGAGTGCTAGTGCTGCAGTAAACATCATGGATATTGTGCTGTTTACATACGAGATTCTTTATCAACATCGCTGTTTGTATATGATTTTTCTTCTTCATTGTAGCCAGGTGGAGGTTTATGAAGGGAGTTGTTTTCATACTTATTTTCTTCAGGTTTGTCTGTCACTGGCATCATTGTAATATCTTTCTTCAAGCCGTTAAAATCCTTTAAAAAAAGCAGATATATGAGAAGTGTTTATTCCATTACTAAAAGTCTGCTGCAATGTCAAGTGTTTTTCATGACGGAAAAAATGGAAGCCCTTAATGTTCACCTGCATTAAAGCCCAACTCTGGAAAGAAAAAGAACCCCCTCCCTTTCCCCTTCTTACTGATCACTGGCATAAAAAAAAAATCAAAAATTCTGTTAGTGAAAAGGTGCCCATACACCTACCGATTATCGTACGAAAATCGCGGGTGATCCTGCGATCATACGATAATCGGAAGGTTTATGGAAGGCGTGCAACCGTTTCTACTGTACGGTTGCACGTCTTTTGTCTCCCGAACAGGCTTGAAAACCCGCCGAGATTCGTACGATTGTCGGTGGGTTAGTGGCGTTCTCAAGAGAGCGGGCGGGGGGGCGATGATCGCAAGTACGATCTGCCTGTCCAAGATGGGCAGATCGCACAAGCTTTTAATTACTTTACAACCATCGCAAGACGAAAGTTGTGCGATGGTTGTAAAGTGTATGGCCACCTTTAGTGTTGATGAAGGAATAAGGTCTATTTTTTTCATGAATGAATGAAAAAAAATAGATCATGTTACGGTAAGCCTATCACTGGCTGATGAATTTTGCAGAATTTGTCATGTTGTGATAGCCATTGTCAGCCACAAGGTGACTTGGTTTAAAATGCTTCACAGATCAAAGAACATTAGAAAGCCGTGGCCAAGGGACATGCAGAAGGACACTTACCAGCTCTTCATCTATTTCATCATGGGCAACTCCACACCAACACTTTTTCTTGTACTTCTCGGACCAGAAGCAGACCAGGTTACAGACTGGTCTTATCAGCAGTGATTTAACATTCTTTCCACGTTGGGGACCTTCACAATATATAAACATACATATTTTTTAATGTTATATAGTTACAAGTACCTCACACATTCATTCTTACTTTTAATCAAATACTATCCATGGCATTATTCCCTGCACCTACTTAATTCCATAAAAATATTGTGGCACTTCAAACTTTATATTATAGTAAAATTGCTACTTATAAAAGTTAATCCCAGAAAAAGAGATCATAAAACATTTCCAAAAGTATTTATCTGCAAAATTATGTGCAGCATATGAACTAGAGAACAGCTTGTGGCACATTAGTTAATTATGCTTTTGTAACAAATGATTCTATATAAACAGTGTCAGCTGCTGCTTTCTAACATATAAAAGTGCAGAAGTTTTAAACCTATTATCTAGTTATTTATCCTTAATACAGCTGGTGGTGCATTAGTTAGTTATCCTTAACCCACTGAGGGCTGCAGAGAAAGAGTATGGTCCATAAAACACCTTTTTGAAATTCCTGCTCTAGGGTCAGTTTAGGCAGAAGGCCATTACTGTGGTATTATGATTATGAAAACTTGCATCTTCAACAATTTATATTAGCCTACAAAGGGTATATCTTAAACTCCAAACTTACTTCCCTAGTCAGTGGCCAACATGATGCTATACTCTACTACTGCTTGAATTGTGGAAAGAAACTCACAAATACATGCGGGAAACATACGCATACCAGGTAGGACTTTCATGGGATCTTCACTCAGGATCCCAGTGCTGCAAGGCAGAATTGCTAACACTAAACTAAGGAGTCTATTCACGAAGCTGCCGAGGGATCTGGCCGTAGCTTCGGCCAAGCAAAAGCTTTAGCTAAGGGGTGGCGAAAACTGAGGAAACCTAGATAGGTGATCGAAATAGTCAAGCAGGCAACATGAGAAAGTGTTTATGGGCAGATTCTCAGTTGCCAAGCAACCTAAGGGAATGTAGAGGCATTGAAACAACGGAGGGTTTGTTGACTTGCAATTGTACCTTCTGATCTCCTTCTGATCTCTTGCATTGCAATCCGTTTTTCAATGCTGGCAAAAGGGCACCGAAAAATGAATGGGTGTGAATGAGGCTAGTTCACACCGGATCCATTATGTTACGTTGCACTGAAAAAAAATAGTGCATGTTCTCCTTTTTTTTAACGCAACATAACGCAATGGAACGTAGTGGGGTGAACTACCTAATTCACACCCATTCATATTTGGTGCCCTTCTGTTGAATAATACTATCGCAACGCAAATGATAGCAAAGAAACAGATCCGGTGTGAATGTGCCCTGAGAGAGGAAATGGTTTCCTGCCGGTTGAATGTTGTGCCTGTGTAGAAGCTGGGGGTGTCAACAACAGCCTGGTTTATATTTATGATTTTGTCCATTCAGTATATTGCTTCAGTAGAACCAAAGGGGTGCTGTACGGGCTATTCACAATAGCCCGTACAGCTCCCGATCATGGCCGAGCCGAACACATATGCATCGGTTTGGCTGAGCCGTGCTAAAAGCCGAAGCTGGCTGAGCGGCTGGCCATTGGCCGGCCGACAGCCTGCTTCTGACAGCTGGGCGGAGCCAGCCGTGATCTTAACAGTGGCTCCGGCCACTTGCAGTGAGATCAGCGTCCCTGGTTACCTGCTAACCAGGGACACTGATCTCCAAACAGCTAACTCTCCCTGGTGCCCCAGGAGTCTCCTGCTCCCGGCCGCCAAGGAGAGAAACACTGATGTGTCCTTTTTTTTCTTTATTCTGACACGATCGATGTCAGAATAGAAAAAAAAAGAAATTTTCCCATTGAAAAGCCCTCTGCTGCAGTTCCCCATCAGGTCCATCAGCAGAGGGCGGGTACAATGCTAGTTTACAATTGGCTATTGCAAATTGAAATAGCTAATAGTAATGTCCCAATGCTTTTCAATGGGAACATTTCTTTTTTTCTATTCTGACATCGATCGTGTTAGAATAAAGAAAAAAAAAGACACATCAGTGCTTCTCTCCTTGGCGGCCGGGAGCGGGAGGCTCCAAGAGCACCCGGGAGAGTTTTTTTTTTTTTTTACAGCAGCAGAGCCGCCGGACAGTAGGAAACTATTGGGCGGAGCTAGTGTCACTGCTAGCTCCGCACAATCGTTTGCTATTTACTTTTTTAACTTTTTTCACTCTTTTTCTGTTCTGCTTGGTACCTCTGAGGGACCGAGCAGAACAGCCGAGCCGAATGCTATTCACTCACCGCTGTTCGGGATCTTTAAGAATAGCCCGAACAGCAGTGGGTAGCCTGCTAGAGGTTCGGCTCAGCCGATCCAGATGTTGGATCGGCTGAGTCGAACTCCTTCACACTTTGGTTCGGCCGAACATGCTGGGCATGTTCGGCCGACCCGAAGCCACACGAAGCAAGCCGGTGTACGGCTGATTTCAGCCGATGTACGGCTGAAATTAGCCGTACGAGCCTGAAGTGAATAGCCGAACAGTGTTCGGCTCACTTCACTTCACATCGGTCATTCACTCGGCTGCCCTCGGCAGCTTCATGAATAGACCCCTTACTGTTTCTACATGCTCCACAGCTGTTTCTTTACCACAGCAGACACAGGGCTCTGGAAGCTAATGTCTTCTTGCACTTCAAAACACCAAACTAACATACTCTGTATTGTACTGACCTGGAGTATAACTACATTTTATTACTTATTGTCTTGATCAAGAGTTAAGCTGCCTGCGGATCTTGCCCAGACAGCAAATGCCATATTGTTCATACAGACTGGGTCTCCGAGTGTATGTTATTGTATATATTGGCATTTTAAACAGAACAAATCTGTTGTAGAGAATAATGAAGAATGTTTTTTTTTTTCATTTTTGCCCATTTGTCAGCTTATAATAAAAAGGGCAGGATATTTATTAAAACATTATAGAAAAAAATCTTATGTACAATATAAAAATTATTTATATAGACAACATACTAATACAGTAAAATAAGGTCTTGGCATCGGCAATGAATTCTGGTCATAAAAGTATAAAACCAGATATACAAAATATTGTGACTGTGTCTATGCTTTTTTAAAGCAGATATCCAC